CCAAGCCTAATCCACATTGCTGAACTAAAACAATATTTATTAATGTCATATAGTTTGCCTTCTGCATGTCTCATGCCTAATAATATTTTGGTACTTTTAATACTGAGGTGGAAGTGGACGGAGGAAACTTGAAGTTACAGCGTTAAGGCACCTGCCAGGTCAAATTGCAACCTCATGAATGAATAAACTGTCGCCCATTCAGACTTTCTCCTCCCGGAGACAAAACTTATGTTATTTAATGGGGCAAGGAGCTGAGACTATTATAAAATTGTCCTTAAAGTCGCTAATTTCTTTTAAAAAAGGCAACCTATAATACATTCCTATAGGGCCTTTTATCTGCAGCTACTATAAGAACTCAACACCTTAAATAATTTCTGTACTGAAATGATAATTCTAAATATCTGGACCAAAAATACTGATAAGTTAACTTAAAACAGGAAGAAGCCGAAAAAAGATAGGGTAGGAACAAGGTGATGTGCTTACGTCGTCGTTTTGCGCATGAACCGGTTGTTGCCTTAATGATTTCAACTGATGAATTTGTCTCTCCTATCTTACAGCTTTCGATCCACACGGGAGGAAGGTGGAAGAATTGAAATCGGGAATTTTCGCCTGGAGGAGGCCATTTTTGCCTCATGCGGAGGATGACACGACAGAACTTGTGGCCACCACAGTGGCCGACGCGGCTCATTACCTGGACATGGCTCTCAGCGCAAGTAAACGCCTCCACGAGTCAACAATCACCGCCCCGAGCCCCGGTCACCTCTTCTTCACTCTCAACGTCTATCGAAATCATCCCGGTGGAACGGTCATCGTCCCTAGTAGGTCACGAATTTGGCGTTCCCTGGAGCTTACCACCATAAAGCATTAGTGAGCTAAGATACCCTCTCGTATTTGGCCGACGCCTCATTTAGCAGATTTTTATAAAAAACTCTATTTTTGTTGTTCATTGAATGAAAGTCGATTTTTAATTCCAAGTTATGAAACGGTGAGAAGCACTTTTATGTTGACAAAAGTTTTTGCGCCGATCCACTTAATCGTCAGAAGTAGTTTCTCTGCCCAAAGTCTTGTGATTGTCGCAGAAACAAAAGTTCGACTTTAAGCTCATTCCTGTTACGTTGCCCATTTTTACCCTTACTAACCAACGCTTCATTGACCCACTTATCACTACCACGGATGATGGATTAAGATTGCGACATTGTGCAACCATTGTTTGTTTGACATCC